TGAATAAGGTTGGGTTTTCCACTTTTCGACCATTAACCTTCCGGTCTTGAACTCTTTGGATCTTTAATTCTTCGGTCTTCTAGTCTTCAGCTTTTCGGTTTCAAGTCTTCTCCTTCTTCGACTTATGCTTTTCAGATGTTGACTTTTCAAAAATTAACCTTCCAGGAATTACTATTCACAACCTTCAACTCTAATTATCCTGATGCTACTTTTCGGATTGAGGTTACTTTCAGGTATTTTTACTTTTCGAATAGTAAAGTTCATTCCTAAAATTGACCTTTTGGATTTATATTGAAAATATTCTAAAAAGTCTAAAAATGACAAATAATTGGGGACCTAAATTTTATAATCAAGTTTGGTATTATCAAAATCTATCTAAAAGATAAATGATTTTCACAAGCATCAAAATATCATTACATATTACATCAAACATTGAAAACATGGTAGTAAATAAGTATTACATTTCATTAGAACTTATGCTCTAGCTTATCTTTCTTCTTATTTTCTTCTATCTTCTTGTTGATTACCTCTCGAGCTCTATCCAATTCTTCATTCAAATTCCTTCTTGTGGATTGGATAGTGTCACCAAATTAACTTATGAAAATGAAGAGTGAGGTTGAAATCCAAATAATTTTGAAATGCCTCATAAATGTCTTTTATCTTTCGGGAACTCCACATTCCACCAGGTAATCCACTATTCTAACTTTCTTCCATCCGTCAGGTTGATGTTATTGTCCTTGGTTATGTTGAATAGAATTTTGTCCAAGTGTTGATCAGTGTCCATCTTTGAGTCTTAAGCTCTCCTTGCTATCCTTTATAGGACTATTGCTTATCAATATCTCATTGGACTTCCCTTGCAATCTTTTTAGCTTTTGCTTTCTCATCCCCATGGTTGCAAAAATCGCGCCTAGGAGCTAGGCGGCCGTCGGCCGTCGCGAGGAAGGCCGGAATCGGCCTCCTCCGTGGCCGGCCGGCTGGACCGGCGCTGAAATTGAATTTTTTTTTTTTTTTTTTTTTTTTTTTTTTTTTTTTTTTTTTTGCGTTTTCAAGTGGGAAAAGTTCGGTGAAGGCATAATTTTTGACTCGGTTATTCGTTTTGGACACTTTTTTTTTTCAAATCGCATATTTTTTCGAGATCTATCCATCGCAAACAACCGTAGGCGGTTTGGTCCACTAATTTCTCCAAAAAATGCTTCTTTTGCTCTTAATTTTAATTTTTTTTATGTACTTAGATGGTTTCAACAATCTTTTGAACACTTTTACAACCACTTACGTAAATAGTTTGTAAGAAATAACTATGGAAACCTTATATTTTATTACTAAATTTTGAAAATTTTTAATTTTTAATTTTATTTTTAATTAAAAAAATAAAAAAATAAAAAGAATAAAATAAAAAATAAAATAAAAATAAATCGGCCCCTAGGTGCCTAACGTTTTTTGTAACATTGCTCATCCCTTTCACACTTCTTTTTCAACTCTTGGTTCATCGAGTTGATCCACTTCCTTTTCCACTTTAGAGTGCCTTTGATATAGTGAGAGAGGTTTTCCATCGTGTAGCGATTGGGATGAACCCATTTACCATCCCTATATCCACCGTATAGTCGGAGTTCCTTTTCAGATTGATTGGTATTGAATTTACCATATTTCTTTGATCTTGATCTTGACCTTGACTTAGATGATGGTTGATAAGGCACTATAGCCTAAGAACTTCCAGTTCCTCCTCCTCCAATTGGGGTTCTAGGGGTCCTACTTCCTTCCTCCTTTTTGGCATCATCATCTAAGAGGTCTACCTTCTCGTGCAATTTGATTAAGCTTTCTATCAAATTATCAACCATAGCCAACACCTCTGGGATTTGCCTTGAGTTTTCCATGATGAAGTTTTGATCTCCACCTAGGGTGAGCTAATTCTTAATCACAATGTCTATCTTCTTCTCGCTTTCCACATGTTTCTTCTCAACAACCTCAATCTTGTCTACAAGGTGATGTACCATCCTCCACATCTTTCCATCATCTGTTCAGTCCATTGGAGAGTGGTTGAAACTTCATCATTGTGTTTTTCATCTTTTAAATCTTCCATTATACTTGTTTTCATACTGACCAATCTCTTCATAGAAATGGTTTCAACAGATTGAGTTTCATGGATTTCTTCATATTCTTGAAAAATGAGTGTTGCTCCTTAGCAATATTCAAGATATGCTCAGTTAGAGAATCCTGTTAGGCTGGCCTTGGAGAGAAGATTGGAACTTAAGATGGCCGAGTACCAACTGACATTGTAGCTTGCACAATTGGTCCTTCTAGATTTCCACCATATGTGTTATTCATATATCACAAACCCTTCATTCTCCTTTGCAAAGGTCTTCTATAGCCACTTGAATGGTGTTTAGTTTCTTCAATCAATAGGGATGAAAGGTTGGCTTGAGCATCATCTATTTGAACATTACATTCCAAATCCACCATCTGAACAGTTACATCAATACCCGACACTACAGCCTCTCGGGTAACTTCTATTTTAGCTTGATTATCCAGTACTTCATCCTCGCGAATAGTTGGAATTTGAGCACTTTCCAAATACCTTTCCAGATTCATAGCTAGGTCAACTTCTAGAGTCTGCACCTTCTCACTTTACAAAACAATTAAGTCCTGCCATTTCGTAATGACTTCTTCAATACTTTCCGAAATATAGACATTTGACTAGTAGTAGTAGTAGTAGTAGTAGTAGTAGTAGTAATAGTAGTAGCAGTAGTAGTAGCAGTAACAGTAATAGTAGTAGTAGTAGCAGTAGGAGTAGCAGTAGTAGTAGTAGCAGTAGCAACAGCAGAAGCAGCAGTAGCAGTAGCAGTAGCAGCAGTAGCAGTAGTAGTAGTAGCAGCAGTAATAGTAGTAACAGCAGTAGCAGCAGTGGTAGTAGTAGCAGTAGTAACAGTAGTAGTAGTAGTAGTAGTAGTAGTAGTAGTAGTAGTAGTAGTAGTATAAATAGAGCTATGTTAAGGGAGGAAAGAATCACCAATTTACCCCAAACCAATTTCGGAGGTGATAAAAGAATTGGTATGGTAGACGACGGTGATTTCTAGTCGCAGTTGTGTGCAAATTTCTTGGTTGGCTACAGTTTGAAAATTTCAATTTAGGCGTAGCATCTATTATCGGCGGCAACCAGGTTATAAGACAGTGGAGCGAAATTCTAGGCAGCAACAAGTTGGGTGGTTTCTGGCATATAAGCTTCCTTTTCCCTAATTTATTCTATTTAGCGAATGCGCATCAACCCAACTTACAATTTCTTTAGTCATTGTTTAAATTGGTGATTTTGAAGTTTTTTATGTGCTGCGTTTTCACCACCTAAGCTCGTTGAATAGATCAAGAGTATGGCATTTGAGTGAATTTGTTCTTATGATAATGAGTTGTTAATTCATTTGATCTAGGAACCTAATGAAATTGCTGTGAAATTTTGTACAAATTCATGTTTTATTTTGTCAATCGGGTTAAAACTTGTCATTTAGGTTTGTCGTTTTAGATTGATTGTGTTATTGGGTGGCCAACTTTAACATGATTAAATTGATTTAAGGGAATTATAGAATACACATCATGCCCATTAATTCATGCTCTAAATGATAAATGAATAAATAATTTGATTGTCTTATCATATTGTTTGTTAGGTTCTCAAACCGGGTATTACGTAGTTCTTTTAAGCTTAATGGGTTTTAATTGTTCGAATAAGTGTCTTAAGCATATGAATAGTTAAAACACGTTGTTGGTTTTACGGCCAAGAGGTAGCTGTTCGGCGGGCCAACACTACCGTAAAATACTAGGATTTTGATAAACATAGAGGATAATGAAAATTGCCAAGAAGAATTTGACAGCATAACAAAGTTTTATTAAGTAGTCAAAAATTCGTCCCTTTACATGGTGACCCTGTGGGGGTATTTATATAAGAGGGATAAGCTTCCTATAAGGAAAGTAGGGCAAAGATGGAGCTGAATCTGCTATGGGATCCGCTATAATCAATGCAATAAGTGCTTAAACTGAGAAAGGAAGCCGCTAGCTAGATAAGGAAGGGAATCTCCGCAGAATCCGCCGCTAACCGCCTCTGGGTGTGCGCTCGCACTAGTACAGAATTTAGAATGGACGCCCACTTTCCGAGTCACCTACTCAATGAAGGTGCTTCGGAAATGATATTATTAAAATAATAATAGGGAGTCCGCGGCACCCATGGCAAAAGGTTGCCGCGGATATTAAATTATTAAAATTATAAATGGGTATCGGCGGCACCTTTTTAAAAGGTGCCGCGTACTTTTTTTTTCTTGTTGCGCGAGACCTAAATTTCCCAAATCCCTAAATTCGCCAAATCTCTTCTGCTACGTCCGTCCTCCGTCTTCCTTCTACTCACGCCACGCTCTCCATCCACAGCCTCCGTCTCCGGTCACACTCCAGCCGGCAGCCGCCTCCATCACCATCGCCGATCACGCTCCAGGCCTCCAGCCGCTTCCGTCGACCATCGCAGACTCGCAGACTCGCAGTCGCAGCAGGCTTCGTCCATTCTTCGTCGCAGTCGGCAGTCGCAGGCTTCTTCGGTCGCCGGTCCAATGAAGCGTCCAGACTCCCAGTGGCAGTCGTAGGCCTCCATCTTCACAGGTAAGTGTGTATATACTAATATACTGTGTATACATTGTGTCTATATACTGTGAATTTGTGGAATATACTGTGTCTAACTGTCTATATACTGTGAATTTATGAAATTTATTGTGTCCATATAGTGTGAATTTGTGGAATACTGTGTATTAGTGTATACTGTCTATAACTTTTTCATTGTCAATATACCTTCTTCCATTTCTGATGCCAAAAATGTCATTTTTGTTTAAGATTTCTTCATTATATTAGTCAAAACACCTTCCTGCCTAAAATAACCTTGCAACTTTACAAGAGACATCTACCATTAGAAAATAGCACTTAGTGCTGAATATGCAACTCTGTATTAATCCATCAACATAGAAGGACTATATTTGAGACTGTTACAATCATTAAGGCCCCCAAATTATGAATGCTAGTATCCACTGTCCTTTAAGCTTCTATAACAGCTTTATCTTTGATTTTCTAAGGCAAACTGTACTATGAAAGGTGGTAAACTCTGCTTATCTGCCTTCCCAAGAACTATAAAGTGCAGGAGCATAGTGTGTTGGCATCAATCATAACATATACTCTGTAGTACTAATGATCTCTTTGGTACTGTAATATGATTCCTGAATAGCTATGCTAGGATTTTGATTAATTGTTCACCACTGTCTAAATTTCATGAAAAAAAGAGGGCTTCCTTCCACTTCAACAGATTTTGGTTTTGCACTTCTCTGGAAAAGTCTGGTCCAGTTGGAATTGGAAAAGTCCTAGTGTGCTTTAGGTCTTGTATGAGAACTGAGAAGATCATTTGAGTCCTCTCTTGATTGGCACATAGAACACATTGAACTAATTGTATCTATACTTATTTGATGTATTTCCGCTTGACTTTGGTCAGGCATCTTATTCCAAGTAATCCGAGTATCTGACCATAGACATCCTTATCCTTCTCCCAGTATATGAAGAACCAGAAAACGTGCTTCAACCTTTAAGGCAAGCTTTGGAAGATTTGGAACATCTAGAGGTCAGTCTGATTTTTATATTTTAATATAATAATTGCATGTAATCAATTTGAAAATTGATTTTCCTATATTTAGTGAGTAAAATATTATATTCGGTGGGACGGAATGAAATGCTTGATTTAGATAAGAGCAATTCCCTACGTTTTGTCGTTTCTATAAACATCGCATCAATGTTGGATTCATAGTCATAATATGGAAATGAGTTGTTAAGAATTGAGAGAACCTTATTGAGTTCTGCAATAGCATTGGTTACTTTCAATTGCGGTTTTCCTAGTTACCCAAAAAAAAAAAAACTATTTTCAGGCATTGCTATTTTAGGGAGTAATAAGAGAGTATTTATCATCCAAGCAGTACTAATAACATTTATGTTGTGAATGCCATTCCATTTTTGTCCTCTATGCAGATGGTTTCTTAATCCTTACAGTCGCGTATTTATGGCTTAAGCTCTGCAAATTATGCAACAAATATTGGCACCATATCATCAAAAGTAAGTCTTTTACTTTACTAATTAATTTATATAATTTAATAACTTTATTGGAAGTATTTGATATTAGAATTTTAATATATATATATATATATATATATATATATATATATATATATATATATATGTTTTGTAAATGTAGTAATCATTGGATACTCATCGTGATTAGCCCACCTTCTAAAACGGTGTATGTGTTTGATCCTTTGAAAAGTGTGGATCGCAACCTTGCTGTCAAAGTTTTTGTGAATATGTAAGTAAAAAAATCAATATATGTATTTTAAATGTTATTATGTTATATATAAATTGATACAAATGTTTGTTATTAATATAGGGCATTTCGATCTGTTCCTGGACGAGGAATTAGAACGGTTGATTGGAAAAAATGCAGAGTATGAAGTTAAAGTTAAAGTTTTAATTGTTTTTATTTATTGTTTGATATGATATATATCAACGTGAATATATAAATCTATTTTGTAGTGTCCACAACAACCAGGAGGTTCTGAATGTGGATATTACATACTGCGATACATGTTTGAAATCGTTAGTAAGCATTCAGAGCTTCATTGTCTAGAAGAGGTAAGTAAATTAAATACAACTAAATGTACATTTGAATTATAATACATTAATTAATATGTTTACTAATTTGATCAAATTAATTTTTTTTGTAGATATTTGAACAGCCCACCTACTCCATAGATGAAATAGATGACATTCGCGAGTTGTGGGCACAATACTTTGTAGATCAGTGCTTGTAACTTTAGTTGGTTTAAACATTATATATCATTATTATTATTAATTAACTTATGTTTATGTTTTGTTAAAAAATTGTATAATTATATTGTGAAGTATATATAGTTATGTTTGTGTTTGTAGTTATTGGTGTTTGTTTGAATTTGTTGTTGAATAGATACGTTTAATTAGTTGTTAATGGTTTTGTAAATTTTTGTGTGAATTTAGAAAATTCTGTACATGTTTAATTTTGAGCAAATTAAATAAAATCAGGGAATTATTGTAATTTTAGAAGAATTAGGAAAAAAAGGTGGATATCCGAGACACCCACGCTCGTGGGTGTCGCGGATATTAAATAACAAAATGACTTTCCGAGGCACCTGCTACCTAGCAGGTGCCTCGGAAAGTCCTAATAAAAAATAATAAAAAATTCGTGGTCAGCTTTCCGCGACACCCCTAACGGGTGTCGCGGAAAGCTAACCACTTTCAGCGTCACAGGAATCCGAGGCACCTGTGCAGGTGACTCGGAAAGTATTTTATAGGTGACTCGGATGCAGTTTTTTGTACTAGTGTCGGTCGGGACGCACCGACTGCTTGACGAGGTAGCCCGGCTAGGGAGGCTGTGGCACTCAGGCAAGGACACGCGCCAGTCGCTGAGGTTTTCCATTTTTTTTACTCTAGTCCCTCCACTTCTTCACTCTCATAAGTTCAACCAATAGATCTTCATCCACAAAGATTATCTCACCTCCTTCAATGAACAGTGACTTTAGGAGGTTTTCCATTTTTTTCTTGCATAGATAATTCAGCATCAATATTTATTTGCGTTTGCATATATTCCTCTTGAATATGACTTTGGCTAGCTTTTGGTAGTACTTCCTTGCAGACATTACCTATGATCTCAGACACATTCTCACTAGTCACATCTTATAGCACACAAGGTTCTTGTGGGATGGATCTAGTAGAAGTGATGATGGTACATTGGCAACAATAATCTCTTGAGCAGTAGGAATTAAACTACAACGTGTACAGGAGTAGCAATTTTCCCCTTAGCCTCAACCTTCACAAATCGCTTGGCTGGTTAACTTTCACCTTCCCCAATCTCTTGGATTGAACCTTCTTGTACACTATGATTAGGGGAACATTGGAGGAGCTAGAGGCATCACCTGCGCTCTTCTTCTTAGTTGGGGTCCTGCTTTGGACTGAGCTGCATGAGGCTTGGTGTAGAATAGGTAAGTATTGCGATGAATTGCTGCACCTGGACTCACCTTTACTCCTAGCTTTCAGCTTCATTAGGTGGGTTATCATGAACCCAAATCCCATCTTCTAGGTTAGAAAATTGAAGACGATTTGCACCCAATCACAACAATAGTTGGACATAATTGCACTCAGCAAAGTCATCTTTTATGTTGTAACATCATCTAGTCTGGCCACCATTTTCTCTACAACCTTGTTGATGATATCGATCGCCCTCTCGAAAACTCTGTCTTTAACGTTCTATTCTTGAAAGAATTTGAGTTCTTCAGATAATCCTTCACCTCTAAATTCATTCCATAATTATGCTTCACTATATGCATACCTTGAGCAATCTGGCTTAGCCCCTTCTACCAGCGGAATATCGTAGGCTACCCTTATGTCTCTGGTAGTTATTGTTAGGAACATTGTATTTTAGATTTTGATGATACCAAAAAGTGTTATAAATTTTAGTTTCCAAATTTTTTACTTTTAGTTTTTAGAGTTCGAAAGGTAACTTAGAGAATAAAATTTACCAACCGAAAAGTAATTCATCCGGAAAGTAAATCAATTTGAAGAGTGACCTTAGGACAATTCTCAAACCTCAAAAGGTAACTTAAAGAATAAATCTTACCCACCGGAAAATAATTCATCCAGAAAGTAAAATTAACTAGAATAGTAAACCTACGAGAAGTCAAACCAAACTAAGTCTAAACTGAGACCTTCGAAGAGTCAAGACTACGAAGAGTTGAAGAGTCAAGCTACAAAGAGTTGAAGGATCGAAGACTACAAGACTAGAAGGTTCAATTGATCGAAGAGTGGAAGGGTAAACCTTAGCCGAATAATAAGGGGCGAGAAGTTAATTTTCGAGGAGTAAGGATTGACAAAGGAAAGTCAAATCTGATAGGTTATTGAGGTACGTTACGAATGGTCAACCTCGAGAGAGTAATAGGTGACATCGTGTAACTTACTATTCGAACATTCTCTGAGCGAACAGTAAACAACCTCAAAATGTTGTGCTGCAAAAAGAATGTTATCAAGGCAAAAGGTGTCCAAGGTACATTTTCCAAGGAAGATTTCCCAAAAAGGCCAAAGTATTTTGTTCAGTTAGAAAGTTAAAAAGCAGACACAAAAATACCGCAACAGTTGGAAATCTGACAAAAGCAATTGTAGATTGTGAACAACTTTTGTGTTCAAACAATCTATCTCTATCTACTTCGTTAAGTAGAAAAAGGCGGAGTAACATACAAGTGTTGACTTGGAAGGGTGCTGGTCAAATTTACGAACAAGTAATTTAAGTGCCAACCTAAGCAAGCAACAATTCTAATAAAGTATACCAGCGAATAGAGAAGATATAATGCTAAACTTGCAAGATCAAGTTCATACTACGACATTAACGAGAAGTCATTTGCCATGTCTAACAATTGTAGATTGTGAACAACTTTTGTGTTCAAACAATCTATCTCTATCTACTTGGTTAAGTAGAAAAAGGCGGAGTAACATACAAGTGTTGACTTGTGAAAAACTTGACACTTGTGACAGGCTTTGTGTTCAAGGCACAAGTGGTCTTTTGTAGTAATTGAGTTTTAGTGCAAACCTCCTTGGAGTTTAAGGAGATCGAAGAGTGGACGTAGGCTAGGTTTGGCTGAACCACTTAAAAATCATCTCTCATATTTACTTACTACTATTTACATTCTAGTAATTAATCACCAAACCTAAGCTTGAAAAGATTAAACACGTGCAAATAAATTTAAAAAGGGGTAGCAAATTAATTTCTCTGCTATGTTACGTTGGTCAAAATAATTTGTAAGTTCAAGTTTACTTGGCTAAAATCTTTGAAATTTTTTTAAAAACTTATACAAGTCTATTCACCCCACCTCCCTTCTCTAGACTTGTACCCTTATCCTTCGTGACGAACAGTCACTACTCAAAATCTCTACACCCTAAATTTGAGGGACACAAAGCAGGTACTGTTGTGGACTATTTCTGCAACAATATGGTACATTTATGATATAAAATAATATATATAAAACTTAAAGTATTGATGATATCTGCTATTCTGTTTTATTATTATTATTATTATTATTTTTAAAATTACATATTACAGTTTTGTTATAAAGTACTAAATTTATGATATAAAATACTGTATATATAGTTAAAAGTATTTATTATATCTATAATTCTGTTATGATCTATTTTTATTATATTCAACCTGTCATTTTGACCGGACAATCTCATAGGACACCAGCTCAAATTATATATCTTCACATTTGTCCGTTGAATTGGTAAAGATTATCTAACAAAACAATTATAAATCAGAAATATATACATATATATTTGGGAGAAGAAATATATGCATATACTAAAAGGAACTGTAAATGATGGCCAAATGTGTGGAGAGGGGAGATAACGCGTAATGCTGGCCAAATCCGGCTACTTTGTCGACAAGGTGACATCCTTAACTCATTGTTGTATTCTAGTTGGCAGTCATTTTCTCGTATGGAGCAATCAATTTCGGTAGAACTGGTCAAATAAATTTGGTTTCACTTGGGAAATAATATATGCATACAAGAAAACCAGTTTAGGACTGTATAGTCCGAGACAATTATATTCTGAATCATGGTCTATCTTGCATTGTAGACCTTAGTTCAAAATAATTTTTAAATTATTTGTCTGCAGTTAACTTATTATGCATTTACAGTTAATAATTTTTATGTCTGTAAAGAAATTAAACACACATAACATTTTAACTACAAATACATAAACTATAAACTATACGTATAGAATATTATGTTAACAACAGACGTATAATATATTGTTAACATATTATGTGTTTGCATTTAACATATTTTATACTTACAGTTAACAGTATGTGTTTGTAGTTATCATTTTATGTGTTTATAGTTAACATGTTATGTGCCTTCAATGTATTTATATGGACATAAATGGTTACCTGCAAGTACAAAATATATCAACTACAAACATATAGTGGGTGTTTGGTAAATAGTTGTTAGTGAATTTGGTTAACTGGTTTGACTTGCTTAGAACATTAGCTGGTTGTATAAAGCTAATAGCTGATTACATGCAAAATGACTTGTAAGTGCATAATTCATTTTCTCAAAAAGTTGATCGAAAAAACTACTTTTAAGCAACATTTTGGAACAATAAACTGATTAACCAAACAGTCAAACACTTGACTGTTTAATTAAATCAAATAATTAATAGTAATTAAAAAAAAGTTAAAATTGACTAATAAACTAAGTATGTTAACCAAACGAGCCTCCACAGTGCAAGAGGTCCATGGTATAACAATTGATTTTGAGCATGATAAAGTTGGTCGAGCGCATGTTTTTCCATGTTTCGCTAGCTATTATTTAGTAAATCCGTTGCGCTTCTGAACGTCTAAACCTTTCCAGGAAAACCAAAGCTTTCTATTCTCCAAGATGACCGTCTTCACCACCGGCGGCTACCTTGCCGGGAAACATGTCTTCCCGGCGGTTAACTACTCATCATCAGGCGAGGCAGTCTCTCAGCGGCTCGTGGACGCCGCACACGCCGACGATCTGAACCTATCGATGGAGCTCTTAGCCGACCCTTTCATCGACGTTAACTACGTCGGAACTGTGTGCTTGAGGTCGAGAAGAACGGAGCTGGTTTTGCACGACGAAACTGCGACTGAGGTCCGGGTTGAATTCGAGGAGTTCAAGACTGAGATCACGCCTCTGTTCCTTGCCGCGCATAACGGAAATGCGACTCTTGTGAGGAAGCTACTGGTGAGTGAGTAATCCTCAGCTAGGTAACACTTGT